CTCTCTCTCTCTCTCTCTCTCTCGTTCTCTCCCTCGCTCTCCCGGCTCTCCGTCGAACCCCCTCCCCAACGAGTTCTGCCCCGCACGTAACACTCGCTGTCTGTCTGTCTTTTCTACGCGTAGGGGAGAGGCGGCGTGAAGGGGACGGTTTTGTTTAGGCCCGATAGATAAATAACCGGAGAATCGTTTTTCGTCTAATTGCGCGGTTATTGCGACGATACGTTTCCGTTGCACCCCTTGTCCCGGCTCGCTGGACCGTCGGGCATGTTTTTAAGATTGACTGGAACACCGCGGGGAGAAGAGGTGTTCGATTTGTTCAACGGAATATCCACTCCCTTTGCAGCGACGATTTTAACGCGTTAAGCGCAGAATATTCGCTCGGAAATGTTCGCGCAATGTCGAGGTCGTTTAATTGATCACGCCGAAACTAGAAAGCGGGAATTTACTGTAGGAGATGTTGCTTCAGATATTTTGTAAGAATGGTTAATCTTAGTAAATCCTAGTAACGTTTAATTTGTTCAATGTATTAGAATAAAAATGAATTTCAGAAAACTAGTTAAAAATTAGTGTCACCCTTACTGATACTACCCTAATGCGTGACCTTACTGTATACTTTTTACATATACCTCACTGTATACCTAATTGTATAGCTTATACATATGTATATCTTGCTATATACCTTGCTATATACCTGTACTATATACCTTAGTGTATAGAGTATAAATTAACAGACGCGTAAATCGGAGAAGTCACCCGTCAGAGCAACGATATCAATAAAATATTCCTATATTTAATATATTAAATATATCTCTATATTGAACATATTAAGTATCTCTATATTTAATATATTAAATATTTCTATATTTAATATATTGAGTATCTCTATATTTAATATATTAAATATCTCCGTATTTAATAAATTAAATATCCCTATGTTAAATCGAATGGCAACGGCGAGAGGGTTAGCCCCATCGAAAGAAATAATTTCGATGTTCCGTTGAACGGGCGTCCCTTTCGTTCTTCCTCGCCGATGAACGGATACGCGTTCTCTTTTTACAGTTCGCTGGGTGCATGGTGCCCCGTAGACGACGGTGTCGGGTGACGCCGTCATCGATCTCGGAAATGAATACCTGTCGGCGCTGCAATTCGCCGATCGGCTTGCGCTAATTGTCCGCCGCCGCGCTCCAATTCGTGAGACGCCTCGATTTCGGCATCAGGGCGAACGCCCTCTGCGTGCCGGAGAATTTCGTTCGCGCAGACTTTCCGGTCTTGCCGCAGGAATCGTTCGCCAAAGGATCGAGGCGACGGCTTTACATAGCAAACGCATCAACATGATAACAACGCGCACGGTCGACGGAATTATCGCTGCGGTGCACTTACAATCCTACGGCAGTCTGCGTCCCATAAAAATTCACTGCGAACTTTTTGCTCGCCGCTTCGACCCGTTGGCACCGCTCGCGCGCTCGCTCCGCGGCAAGATGCTCCGCGAATCTTCGCGGAGGAAAGCTTGACCGCCGCAAAACAACCCCGACGGGGGATGCGAAACGTCCGTCCGAATACCGAAGCAAACCGCAGAGTTCAAGAATATCTTTCCGACCAGCATTCTGGTTGCGTTAACGCTTAGGCTACCGCGGATTTTTAAACATTCCTCGTGCACACGGCGTACGATGGTTCGATCGCAGCCTACGCTGCGAGCAACGTGCGAGTATTTCGCGGATTTTCTCTATAATAATAACAATAAATTCTAGCGAAATTTATAGGGCGCCCATGGGTGCTAACAGCGCATCGGAAGCAAATTTTTGAAGCTCCCATAGGCGCCCTCGGTCGTCTCGGAGCTAGAAGGACACGCTTCTCTGTGCAGACTAGCTAGCATTCAATTTAGAAAGCCAGGTGTCCATTCCATTCCGGCCCTCCGAGAATTATTTAGTAAAACTATCGCCTATTTCTGCATCGTTTCGGCGTCTTTGACGCTGGGCGACCCCTCCCATTCGGAGCAATATCGCTAGAGGTTGCGTAACAGAAGGCCGCGGGGAACCAGCGTCCACGTTGGTGTCCACTAATTTCGGTAACTACCGGCGAATGCCGCGGAAATGGCCCGATCCGGCCGTTAAACCGTACGACGCCGATAAAACGAGGCGTGCACGGGGCTTAACCAGCAGGGCTGGTCCCCCGCCCCCGTCTCCCTATCAAATCTCGTGGAAAGCAGGACGCCGCGTTCCGTCCTCTCCGAGTCGCCTTGGAGATGCCTCGGAGCAGCGGCGAGAGGAGTCAATAGACTCTACGTTGCGGCAGATGTACGTATCGATTTTGGAACGTTGATTCGCGCGTGTTCCAGAACGATACCGTTGCCCTCTCTGCCACGGCGAGAGAGAGAAGGATACGGAGCCGCTGCGGAGGAAAAGAGAAGCGGCTGGCCCGCGTTTCTCGCTTCTTCAAGATCAGTACGGCTCCTGGTCGGATCGTCTTCGCTGGCCTATCCCGACTTCGCTGGTCTTCGTTGGTCTTCGCTGGTGTTTACTGGCCTTTGCCGATGTCCCCTGGTGTTCCCTGGCGTTTCTGGGCCTAGCTGGGCTGTGACGCGTCCGCGTTGCCATTACCAGCAGGCATGCGGGACGAGGCAGGGGGTTTCCAGAGCACCTGGAGGCCACTGGGTGGCCGGCATTACCCTCGCCAGGTGGTTGCAACTTGTTGTTGCGGCTCCCCGCTTCTTGGGCCTTGCCGCCTAAGCTTCATTGCGCGGCCCGATGCAGTTGCGCGACACCCTACACCGCACCCCCGAATGGACCATTAATGAGCGTTCGACGTCGCCGTCTATTCACGTCGAATCGACTAATTTATTTCACGGCTCTCGCATCGGGAAGCCCCGGAGGCTGTCGGCCGAGTAACAGCTTCCCGGTCATCCGGAATATCGCAACTTACCGTCCGGACCGGCTGCGGGATCTTACCGGGCCAATGAAAATGCAGGAATGCGTTGCGGTCACTTGTTCCATTTGCATTATCCTGCCTATCTGCATTATCCTGCCTATTTGCATTATCCTGGCTATTTGCATTATCTTCCTGGACAAAGGAGTTGGAATCTCTTTGATTGAAATCTGTTAATTCCCTTTATCGATTTGCAGTACCTACGACTAGTATTCCTGACACCTGAACTTCCTGATACTTGCTCATCTAAAAAATGTTAAGCCCAATTTAACCGTCTAAGGTAATTCTAAGATCATTTTTCTAAATGTGAATATTATATAAATTATATATTTATTATTGTGTTCGTTATATTATGTAAATAACTATAATGTCTCGTATATCAGACAAAAGAGAGTTAAAGAGTAATTGCGATTGATAAATTTCAAAAGAAATTATTTGCAATGCAGTATGCTGCAACATTTGGGAACGAATGTTCAGGGAGAATGGTTAGAGAGAAGGTATTTTTAGTATTAGTATATTATATATATAGTAATATATATGTATTTAGTATTAGTATATTTATATATATGTATAATATAGTAATATTAGTATATTAATATATCAATATAGTAATATTAGTATATTTTATTATATCAATATAGCAATATTAGTATATTATTATATCAATATAGTAATATTAGCATATTATTATATCAATATATCAAATATATATTTATATCATATTTCAATGGATTGTGAACAGATTGCTTGATTCGTGGCGCTAATAGTTTATTTTCGTCGTACGATTCCATCTGTCCGTAATCGATTTCTCGTGCTAATAATACACCGATATCGCGCATTATATTATTTTCTATTCTAAGCATTCGATTGGCATTCGATTTGTCGTACTACGTACACGATAACCGTAAGTTCTGTCAAGGTTATGTGAAATTTTTCTACCCCGAACTATACTTGTACGATTTCTTTTACATTGTATATAAACAATAAGAAAATCAGCGTTGAATAACAGTTAAACAAAAGTAATTGACAATTAATTCGTATTTATCAAGTGTCGAAAGACTTACGGGTACGTTGTAGTGTTCTCCGAGCGTTAGTATAATGTCGACGTGGAATTGGCCTTTGTTCTTCGTCGAAGAGTAATTGTTGACTTCTGTCTTTTAGTACATCTTGTAGAGGAGAATTTTCTGAATCCGTTCGGTCCATTTTAGCACTAAATTCGCGGTTCTTCCCAATTAAAACACCAATTATCTCGACAGCGATAACACCTTCTGCCTAAGAAGCGCGCGGATTTTCGCGATGCGATCGCAGCGCCGCGCGCGGGGAAATTCAAACGCTCTGCGAGTTCGAAAGTGGTAAGTTCAAATTATCCGGTTGTACAATCCTCGATAACTGTCGAGCCCGTGCAACCTTGACTCTACGATGATAAACATATTCATTTGAACAATGAACTGCACCGAAGGAGAACGTTGCTGTGCAGGATGTACTTACAATTGTTTTTGTAACAATAAATAGGATAATGGAGGTAATTATTATGGTGTAGCCAATTACTGTCAAATCGTCTCTGACATAGTTTTAAATAGAAGAAGCGAAAATATGAAAAAATTGATTAAAGCCATCGTCTCTAATGTGAGCTTTTAAACAACTTATTATGATATTACATTTTATTATCGAAAATAAAATTTATTAAAGCATATTACATGCTAAATTTTGTGACGTTTCTTATTTTTCTTCGTCGCTCCACTCAATTGCTATTTCTGCAAAAACTTGATCGAGCTAAAACTAGTCCTTCTGACATGTCAGAAAAATTCAATTCGTCCGGTCCAATTTCAGAAAAGTTATTCCAGCTTCAAATTTATATATTTCCGCATATATTTTTGTCGACGACTGTATATTATCGATGGCGCGCGGCTGCAGCTGTTAAAAGAAACGAGGCCCAAGTAAAAATGTATTTCATCTGCGAAGTAATTCAACAAACTGAAAACAATAAAACACTATTATAAAACAACCCTGAATTCTCCTAATATTTTTACAAATTCCGCATTTCATCCATCCAATTTTGATAGAAATGCATCAAATCCGCGGTCTAATCATCGATCGCGAAGAAAACGGTAGAAAATATATTTCTCTTGGACACGTCGACTATAATGTCGCCGAGCCACAGTATATTTATTCAGTTGCGTTTATTGTATCTGTTACACCAACCTATACAGAGCCAGAGTATATTGTTGTTTAATCGGGCCCACGTGAATGGACCTAGAGTCAGCGGAACCGTCGCTTTAAGGAAGAAAGTTTCGCGGAAAGACACACGCAGCTGCGTTCACGGATCATTTACCGGTGCCGGTTACCCTTGGCTGTGAGGTGATACGTCCTTCGGACACGACCCCATTGTTCCCGGTGAAAGGAATACGTGGACGCGCGCTCGTGTCACGCGCCCGGCCGATCTTCCGCAAAATAAAAGGATCCTCCGGTGTGGTGACCCCTCGCGTGGCACGCGCCACCGTCCACCTTTCTTTCCTTCCTCGGCAGGCCCAGCCGTCGCCTTTCAGATCCCCAGGATAAGGAATCGCTCCCTGGAAGCCTGGAGGGGACTCGGCATATTGCTCTTTGGAAAGCCCACCTTCTCGCGAAACTGAATGGTCGGCTGGTTCCGGCGTGCCGGCACCTTTGATGTGCCTCCACGGCGGCCACCCTGGCCGCATTCGACTCGCTATCCTTGACCATGGGGATGATTCACCCCTCCGCAACCCGTTTCTCCCTTCTTCCTCGCAAGAAGCTTCGCCGGATCGCTCTTCGAAAAAAAAGAAAAGAAAATGAACTAGTAGACGCGGCAACGTGCGACCTTGAAACTGGAGCGGGCTAAAAATCGCCTGGACAATGCGTGCCGGCTGAACTCCGGATCGGAAGAAGAAAACAAAAAACCAAAAAAAAAAAGAAACAATGCGTACATTATTCGGCCCGGTTGCACCCCGCTGGCTAAACACGGAGCCAGCGGTGTGCTTCGATTCCGATATCGCCGGGGGTTGTTTTCCAAGGCCGCCCTTGAGGATTTAAAGAAAGCCGGGGATAAATGGCGGCCCGCGCGGCTTCTGGCTGCGCGCAGCCCGGATCGCGTGATTCGAACGCCGATGATTGAGCGCACAAAGGAGGCCAAACAATGGCCTCTCGAGGGCGCAGGTGAAAAAACCGACGTTTTCCGAGCCCGCTCGCGATTCTCGCGGCCGATCCTCCTCCTGGAAAACGTTCCGAACGATCACTCGAGCTTCTCGATGCTGGGACAGTGGATCGCCGCGTCTTCATTCATCGGGGAAGGACCTGTACGGCGAAAAGGGGCTGGTCAGCTCGGGCTGGAACGAAACGCAACGTCGCGGGAAGGGGTTCCCGGGCATTGGGGGATGACCGATACAAGTGGGACGTTCAAGAAAGGGGTTAGGTCCCATGCCGGTGACAACGGCAAAACTCGAAACGACGTCGCCGGACTTGGCTTCCGGCCATTTCCCGGCTATCGATCCATGGAAGCGTTACGACGAGGCTGCCCTACGTGCAATTATAGGTGTATCGTATGTATAATCCGACCCTGGTACGTGGAGAACGCGGGACGCGCGGGGGGAAGAGAAGGAGGAGGAGGAGGGCCCCCGGATCGGCGCACAAGGACGATCCCGAAAAATTTTTGGCCGACTGCACGGGATCCGCGGATTCGAGGCACGCCGGGCACGCTATTCGGGGCAACTGGTTTATCGCTTAGGCGTTCAGCTCAGGATTTAGTGTTTCCTGCGGGGAGAAACGGGTCAAACAGGGGGTCCTCGATGCGATAACAAGAACGTTTCCGCGTGGAACGTCCAGGAAAAGGTGCTCGCGCTCTTTCTCTTTCTTTCACTCTTTTTCTAGAGCGCCCAGGCTCGCGGATGGACGGCCGAATTGATGGGTCTGGTCACCTATAGCGATCGTTATCGGCGGCCGCACAGGTCGCGTTTGCTCTCCGACACGCCTAGAACCGAATGTAAATAGCATCGCGATTAGTTCCAGCCAGGCTGGTAGTAAGTTAGCATTTGCGCTCGAGATTAGGTCAGGCTGGACGACGCAGTACCTTCGGCCAACCTAGATCCCACCCCCGTCCGCCCTCCGTGATCTCTTTTCATCCTATTAGCGCGTTTTAATTATCAAAATGCTTCGGCTGGTTGATAAACCAGCTTTTTCTAGAATATACAACGGAGCTAGAATTTCGGAATCGCGGTGACATCGTCCACGGAGGATGACCGCTTCCTATAACGCGTTTCGAGGAACTGGCCGTGTAAGAAGCACGTACTTTACCCGCCCCCCACGGACATGCAACACAACGGTGCGTTTCCACGTATGCGTGGAATCGATAACTGGGAATTAGTCTGACAGGCTGTCTGCCGGAGCCGAGCACGTGTGTATACGCGAAGAACTCCGCCGGCCGTGTTAAAGTAATTAGACGGCTCGGTTAATCGAGCCGGACGCGCTCGGACACGGCGTTCGAAACGATCGTCGGATCGATCGCGCGATTTCTACGATCGGGGTTTTCAAGATTTTACGGCGGCGTCGCGAAGCGTCTTCGGAAATTTGAACGTTCGAACGCGCCGCGCTGGAATCTTCGGTCGAAAATTCGGCTGAAAATTCAGCTAACATGACGAACTTATGTGCAATTCTTCGAAAGAATATTGTTCGTAAATTCGGCTGTTTTATTGCGGGATTTTTTTCGAATTAATCGCGGTCTAGATTTGTACGGGGTGATGCATGGTTAGCGCTGCGTCGAAGCTCGTAGAACGATGTCGCGTCGCGGAAAGACAAACCGAGGGGATGAATGAAAATATGTTCGCAGAAATGGCAGTGCGCGAGCTAGCACAGGACCGAGATAAATAGAGGATCGCCGTAGTCGGTAGCGGGGATCAATATGTCACAACCACGGTCACAAATACATGCGGCAATGAACGAATATACATGTACGTATATGTATATGTACATACATATAGAGTCAGCTGGATAAATGTGCCAGCTTTGCGAAGTTATAATTAATATTTCAAAGAGGAACACTCTGCGCCGACGATTTGTATTCTTCGTTATCGATAACGCGGAATGTATCTCGCTTAAAAATTTAAATACGCAAAGATCGTTATCTACGAAATATTTTTCTAATTATCACTAATGTCGTAAGTTTGTTTCAAACAGGACAGATATATCGATCGTAGCAACAAATTAGATGCGCCGAGCTTGTCTCCATCAAATATATTTATTGTTACAAAGAAAGTCGTAAGTACATTCCGCACAACAATGTTAAAGTGTAACAAATATTTGTTAAGAACATTGTTCTCCAATGAGGTTCTTTGTATAAATGAATTCGTTAATGATCGTACGGTTAAAGTTGCCCAGTCGCCCGATAGTTATCCATGATTTTGTCGCCAACGACGAGATATTACGAATTTAACGTTTTTCGGGCGCTTCGAGCGTTTTTGAAGTTTCCCGCGCGCGGCGCTGCGGTCGACTGATCGATCACGCACAACATTTCGCGGGCTACTCCAGGCAGAAGAGGATACAAGTTCCCCAAGTGATTAGTGTTTTAATTGAAGAAAGAAATCATGAATTTAGCGTTGCGACAGACTGGGCAGCTTCGGAAAATACTCCTCTATGAGATGCATCAAAAGACGCGACTCAACAATTGTTGTTCAACGAAGAATAAAGACGAATCCAATGTCGACTTGATCCTAACGGTCCGAGGACACCTAAACGTACCGGTGAGTCCCTCGACATTCGAGATAAATATGCATGAATTATCAGTTATTTTTATTTTTTAACTGCGATCCAACATTGATTTTCAAACCACACCTTATCTTGTATATATAGATATATAGAATATAAAAGAAATCGTAGAAGTACTTCGAGGTACAAATTCAGATACAAAAACTTATCGTGTACGCTTATGTTTCTTTCGCGAAGTTGCTCCGATTGTACAACGCTATAAAAACTTAGTTACCGTATTACGCAAGTTCGACAAATCAATCGAATCAATGCTTACAATAGAAATGAATATAATATGCGGTATTGTTGTTATTAGTATTATTAGCTCGAAAAATCGATTTCGGACAGGTGAATCAAACGACGAATATAAACTGTTTTATATTAGCACCACGAATCAAGCAATCCTGTTCATAATCCATTGAAACATGATATAAATATAATCGATATAATATACTTTATGGTATTAAAAATACCTTCTCTCTGACTGGCCTATGAACATTCATTTTCGAATGTTGCAACATACTGTATTACAAGTAATTTCTTTTTTTTTTTAATTTATTCATTGTAATTACTCCTTGCTCGACCTCTCAGGGGCAATCGCGTTTGTGGCAGAACTTGTGCCAGTTTCTGTGATTAAGTTCAATTGAAACATGTTTCAATTAAAGAAATCAGCTACTTCTGCTAACTCCCTTGCTCTGGCTTGCTGGTGGGCCCAACGATCCTCCGCAAGCTTGTCGCTTATTGCCCACTTGTCATGGTAAATGCGCTTTCCACAAGTTGGACATTTCTTACCCCCTGTAAAAACAACAACAGAATTGCTTATTTAGAAGACACGGATCGCACATATAACATATATTTAATTACCATGGAATGGAGGAGTCTTCATGAATGTCACAAGACAATGCAAGTGGAACAAGTGACCACAGTACAATCTCTCTATATGCATGTTCGCATTCTCGTTGGTTTCTGCTTCCTCTGGATTTGTTGGCAAACATTTCTGTTTGCAAGACTGACAATGCTCTTGTGGCAATTTCTTCACAGACCTAAATGAGAAAGAAGAAACAAAATGAAGACTCGTCGTAACTTCGTGAGACATTTTCAATCGAAATACCTTATAAGAAAGGAGGCAACAATGTTCAACGAAGGTGACGGTGCAAATGGAGTTTTCTGCGACTGTTTGTTCAACGGTGGCTCCACGCACTGCCTGCCTAACTCTCGACCTTGGCCCAAGAAATATCGGGTAAACAGTGGAGGGAAATTCGTGTCAGCATCTTCCAATCTAGGACAAAGGTAAGAAAACTTTAGCTGCTGTCTCTGCACCCGCGTATAAAACTGCCCATTAATTACACATACTTCACACAATCGACTGGATAATCGTCTGGTATTTCAATCTTGGCCTTGAGATAGTACAATCCTTGCTGAATCTTCAAGTAGATGCAAGAATGCTTCTGTCTCAACTTTAGTTCGTCGTCACTCTCCAGGGTTTTTTTTAGGGTAGAGATTTCATCGTAGCAACAGATCAGTGGATTCTCGTCTATGAAATTACGGATCAGCTTCAGCATGGGAAGCACCTGCGAAGAGAGGAACCGCAGAATTAAATCGGAAATTCAAGAGGCTGTACAGTCAAGACGAAAAGTGACAATAATTTCACCTGTGCTTTCCCCAAGAGTTTCTTGCATTCCTTCTCGCAAACTTCTGTTAATCCGTCGAGCAGCTTCGACGACAGAGTTTTGCTCTTCAGCTCGACCAACAGCGGATTGTCAGGATAGTCCTTCGAGAACTGGATGCACGCAACGATCGTCTTGAACTTTGTTTTCCTGCGGACGAAAGGGGCATACGTAAAGAACGGTTCACAAAATCGTCAATCGTCCTCGAACTTACGCTATTTCCACTCGCACCATTGTGTGCACACAGGAGACGAGGCGACTACCTTCGACAACATTTTGACAGAGTTTTGACACTTCTTGCAATTCATCGTCGATAAAGCCCATGAGAAAATTGAAACAACTTTATGCCACGCTATCGACACACCTTCCCGCTGTTTTTTGTTAGCGAATCACGTCGAATACCTCGGGAGGAATCAACATAACATAACCAAACAAGCGGAGGTGCACGGAGTCGCTAGGATCTACGTTCCCCAAAAATTAGAATTACGTCATCCGATCACGATCAAGGTCAGACGAGAAATATAAACGACCGTTCGCGTCACGACGTGACGAACGTGTACGTGGTGAAATTTATCAAACGATCGGAAGAATAACCGTCGAGCAACGAAATCGAAATCAATAAATAAAGGGAAACGAAGTGTCCATGCTAAATACTTTATTTCCTACAATGGATACAGTAATACAAAAACAAAAACAACCACAAGGTTGCTTTTCAGCGGAGCACGGCCGCCATTTTACGTTCGCAGCTCGACCCGCGTATCAAAAATCATTGCTCTGCTCGCAGGAGAATAATGTTCAGCAATTTCCACGCGATTGTCACAGGATTAATTATTGTTCGCAACACGGGAGCCACGTGTTAAACAAAAACACAGGATTATTTTCTCGTCAGCTGATTGGCGGTTCGGACAAGGTGGAAAAACGGGACGCGACGGCGGCTCTTGTATGCCGGTAGTTCATGGCGGCGACCTAACCTTTGCGGCACGTGCACACGGGAAATTTGAAATTGCCATGTGAAAGTCTGCGATTGAAGAACAACGAGGGAAAAATGTCGCAGATCGCCAACACGAGGGAGGTGATCCTGACGAGCGACAGCACCGGTGAACATTGGAGCGCAGCGACGTGGGACCCACGCACAGGGTCCACCTTGTCGACGTACAAACACGCGGGAGCATTGGCGCAGGGCACTCTGCAGCTGCTGGGCGACAGCTATATAATCGGCGCAGACCTCACGAAACCTAGGATCCACGTATGGCCCCTGAACAACCCTAATCCGGTGTCTAATCTTCGTTTGACCACGCCGGGTAAAGTGACCGCCCTGGCTTGCACGCCGAATGGCGCCTTCATGGTCGCAGCCATCTCGGAGAAGCTGTTCCTCTGGCAAGTGTGCAACGGCAAACTGCTGGGCCATCTGTCGCAGCATTACCAAACGGTGAACTGTCTGTCCTTCAGCAGCGACGGTTCTCTGTTTGCCAGCGGGGCCGAGGACGGCCTCGTCTTCGTGTGGTCCCTCTTCAGCGTCGCCAACGACGAACGATCTACGCCTCTCCACGGATTCTCCCACCATTCCCTGCCGGTGAAGGACCTGCGATTCGGCCACCCTGGCCCCAGAGGAAGACTGTGCACCGTGTCCCTGGACCGCACCTGCAACGTCTACGAGCCAGGAAGCGGTATCCTGCTGTTGACCCTGGTCTTCGACGTGCCTCTGACCTCGGTCTGCCTCAGCAACCGCGACAGCGACCTCTTCGTCGGGTGCACCGACGGCAGCGTCTACAAGTTCAACCTGCACGAGCCGCCCCGCGGTATAGAGCATCACGTGACGGTGCGAGACGGCTCGGATTCCGAGGGCACCGTCGTCTTCAGGGGCCACAAGTCCACGATCGTGGCCCTGTCGACCTCGATCGACGCCAGGTACTTCCTTTCCGGATCAACGACCGGCGAGGTGCACCTCTGGGACGTCGCCAGCCGCCAGGTCCTCAGGACCATCGAGCACAAGGGGCCCATCACCGCGGCGTTCTTCGCGAAGAACTACGAGAACTTCAGAGTCGCCGATCTTCGGCCGAACCTGGTCGTCGCCAATCTGCAGAGGATATCGGACGACGTCGACGGCAAGCAAAGCGTCGTCCAGGTGGTTTCCAGGGATAAAATCGATCCTGATTTCCTCCGGTTTGAGTCCTTTGTTGGCGACGCCGTGGAGGACGCGGCTGCGGGGGACTCGCAGTCCGGCAAGCTGCTCGAGATGAGGGAGGAGATCGAGAGGCTGAGGAGAATCAACGCCGCGATTTATCAGTACAGCGTGAAACAGATTCTGGGAAGGGATTTTGAACGGTCGGACGGAAACGGTGCGGCCGAGGAACAACGGCCTTGAACTTTTATACGGAGCATCCGAGTTGAATAAACAGTTCCCGTTGCATCGTTCGTTATACTCTTTCGCAACAACCCCCCCTCTTTGCCTTGTAGAATATTCCAGGGAACGTCGGTTCTTCGAGACGAGATATAACGGTAGAATCGCTGTTTTTGCTCGAACAAGTTATTAACCGGGGTGCAGTGCGCGCGCGCGACAAGGCTGTAAAGCAGAGCGTTGCAGAAAATTTCTATTCTCGAGCAAACAGTGTTCCCTTCGCGATAGATTTCGCCGAACTTCCGGCACAGTTGCGATAAGAATTTTGATTACGAGGGAGATTGATAATTCTGTTGCCTCCGCCGTGTTGCAAAATCGCCGTGTTCCGCTTTAAAGGGGTCTTGAGAAACTTGCCGGGCGCATCGTGACTCGTAAACTCTATGCAAACGCGTATTTTTACGGATAATATTATACAGATTCGTGTATTAATTATTCATTTAGACATTATATTATACAGACTTTTTTGCAGATTCAACCCTTGGCACTCGATGCCGTTTCAACGGTAAATCTGAGATCATTATTCCGACTTATGGTATTTCCTTTTTGCATGACAAAGTGCATTTTGTGCATATGAAGTTTAGTTTGGTGATTCATGCAACGGTTACACTTTTAATTTAGATTTCTCGCATCTGTACTTTGATAATGTAAAAATGATAAAATTGTACATAAATTATATAGAAATTATAATTATTATTATTACGCGATACAACAATTTCAGTGGCGCCGCCACACGAGCGCGAAGGGGTAATATTGTACAAGCTGTTCAGATTTGTGTAAGCAACGGATTTAACTACAAATCCGTGCGTTGGAAAATTGAGGAGCCGCCCTGCAAAGACTATCAGGGGCTGCGGAACAGTCCCTAAGGGTGATCAATGAATCATGTTCTTTGCCGGGGTTGGGAAGGAGGTCCAAGGGAGCTTACGGGCGACGTGGACCAAGTAGTGCGAGCCCCGCAAGCTCTGTTGATGTTATTTCAAGGGAAACAAAGGGTCCCTACCCTTTCTTCTCGGTACGTAAGGCACAGCGGTTGATATTACAGTGCATTCGATCAATTCAGTCGATCAAGAACAGTTGGTCACGGGGAGTATTTGCGCCGCGGATGCCACAGGCGATCGTTCAACCCCTCCGCTCCACGCGGATGATTAGAAACTATTATTTCTAAACGCGAGGTGCCAGCCGATTTTTTTTCTACGAAAAACTTACTGCGATATATTAAGTTTGAGTTGAATTAATCTCAAATTATGAATTTGTATTAATTCGAATTACTTGCTGGTTGAATTTATTTGAATTACTTGCTACTTGAATTAATTTGAGTTACTTACTATTTGAATTGATTTGAGTTACTTGCTGCTTGAATTAATTTGAATTACTTTACTACTTGAATTGATTTGAATTACCACTTGAATTAATTTCAAGCCGAATAAATTTAACAATAAATTACTTAGAAACGAAAGAGTTAACCGCATTATTTCTCAGTCAATTTTTACGTTTCCTCAAAATCAGAATCTAGCCCCGTTCTCCCCCCACGAAACTATTTTAAGTATCGAACATCGTTATAACTGCGAAGAAAACGGTACGGCAAGGGGTTAATGAGGCAGCGTTACGTTGGGCGGGAGTTACAATTTCATTCGCCCGGTTGTCAAGTGCCATTAGGAAGGGCTGCGATTTTCGGTCGGCGCGTCAAATGAACCGGGCATAATTATTCGACCGGCATCAGTCACGATCACGATGTTCAGGTCGCGCCATTTTCCATCGGCGGATCGCGGGAACCCGGCGTCGCGTTCCCGCAGCTTTACAAACAGCCGGCCGTATTTTACCGGGGAAATGTAATCGCGTTACAAAAATGAAATTCGCCCACGGTAATTGGAAGAACGACCGATTCACTTCGCCGGATCGAACGTACCGCCGTGGAGCGTCGCTCGCGGGGGTTGAAATAATGTTCGCGGCGCGATAATAACATCGGGAACGGCGCATAAAACGCGTGAAATTGAAATGTGGGGGCGGCGGTCGATGTGTGCCGCACTCCGCACAGATTTTCGTCGCTCGAAACTCGCGCTGAGAAGCGAAAGATTCGCTTTCGAAACTTATCTGGAATACGCGGCGTGCGGACAGCGAACGCGCGCAGCGTTCCGGAAAGCGTTTTTTCGTGGCCGAGAGTCGATTTTTCAAGCTTGATGTAGTCGACAAAATTCTTTCGCTACGAAGTGACAACCCTTTCAAGCTGCCAAACTCTAAATATTCGTTTTAGACGATTCCGTGCTGAGGTACGACGTTCTAAATACAACATCGTGAAAGTCAAAAGTAAAATTGAACCTTTTTCACACCAATTATTGAATATTAATATTAAAAATATATATAATATATATTATTATTAATGTATATATTTATATCATAATAATAATATAATTAATATTAAATAAATTATATATTATTATATTACTATTAATATATAATATATATATATTTTATATATATTAATATATAAAATATTGAATATTAGAAAACAAGTTTTAATGATGACTTTGTACAAATTAGCTGATGCACCCTGAGTGTCGAGTCCAGTTTGAACATTTTTTAATGCATACACAAATAGCGTCAAATTTATGACGATTGAAACTTCGAAAAGAGTTTAAAAAGATTCTGAATCTGAAATTTTCAATTTATCCCCTTGCAACCCTTGCGTGTACAATAATTTCCGCGAATAAAATACAAACAATAATTCGACGCCTTGGCAAAAGACAACCAACACAACGAATCTCCTTAAACTTGTACATTTTTTCGTTAAAAAAATCTGTCTCTCGTGCGAGTTGCCAGAAACCGTCGCGACGAAGATCGCGTCGGGACAGCGAACGACGCAGCCGTTCTTTCGACGAGGTTAAATTAACCCTCCAGCATTTTTTCCGCCGGTCGGACAGGAAACGTTGTTTCGCCGGAGGAATGGAATTCCGCGGGGAGGTAGAGCCGTGGGGTGGAGAGGCATAAGTTTAGCATCTCGTAAATTTGTTTCGTTATGTGCTCGCAAGCTCCGGTTATGGGATACTTCGCCGGCGTCAGGCGAAACTTTTCATTGTGCCTAACACAATGATTTGCGAGCTCGTCGCGTACTTTTCGCGGGGAAGAGGAAAAAAGAAACGAAAAAGACGGCGCGCGCCGACTGGTTCCGCGGAAGCGGCGAGGAACGGGTCGTGAACAGAGGGGTTGGAGGACGAGGGGAAAGCAAGCAAAGCAAGTTGCCTCTTTGCTCTGTCTCCCCCTGGGAAACGGTCCTCTTGGCTGCCGGATTCGATAATAATATTTGCGAAAATTCCCGGCCGCCATGAGCCGGAAAACTCTTGTCTAAACAATGTTAATGAAGCGCGTGCACCGAGAGGCAATATTATTCGCGACGGACACGCTGGATCCGGCTTTAAATACCATTCCTCCGGAGAGCTCGTTTCTCGCTGGTTCTACGCCCGTGCTACCCGCACACCCCCGCCGGCCTGGCTCACTTAATTAAAACGTAACGGGGCGATGATCGATCTTAAACGTTAAATATGGCGGTGTATCACAGTGTGTCCCTGGCTCCTTTGTATTTAAATGAGACACGCCGCGCCTCTGGCCGGCTCGTGAATGAATGCAAATGAGCCGTTTACGAAACCGTCCCGTACGTTGGAAATTAAATTAGGCCCGGACCCGTTCGCCTCTCCGATAGAAAAGTTTGCATGGGAATTGCACCGGGCTGAGAGAAATTGATGACACCGCTGAATCTGTCGTCTCTCTTCGCTCTTCGAAGATAGGGAGATACGGACGGAAAGAGAGGGAAAGAGAAAGAGAGAGAGAGGAGGGCCTCGTTACATATTGATCGTCCGTTTTTATATTTTTATTATACGGTGCTCGAGGAATCCGCGGGCATCGATGGGTCTGCTGCCGAATCGGAGAAGTATTATTACAAGAAACCGGATACATACACACACACATATATACATACATACATTTATACAGCGAAGAGGATGTCCGCGGTCGGATCGATAGCGTTTGCTACTCGGCGCTCTCTTTGTATCGCGCGAAATAAGCGCGGCTTCTGTTCCCATGCGGAACACCGGGGCCACCCTAAGTAATGTCTCCCTAACTGACGCTCAGATTGTGCAGAAAAATGGACAATTTGAGAAGAAGAGATACGATTATTCGAGTCTCGCGCCTCGTTTTTATAGTTGTCGAGAATCGGTGATTATAAAAACAAGGCGCAACATTCTAATCAATCGTATCTCCTCTTCCCAAATTGTTAATTTTTGTGCGCAATCTAAGCGTCAGTTAGGGAGACATTACTGGTACATCCACGCACGTAACCGGCGTTCGATTTTTCAATTTCGAGCGGTCGAAAATGCCGGCAAGAACGTTCGTATAAAAATGTTCCATCGTTCGGCGCGTCGCGAGAAAATGTCTCCCGTATTGACGCTTAGATTGCGCAGAAAAATGGAAAATTCGGGAAGCGGAGATACGATTGAATTGAGTCTTGCGCCTCGTTTTACAGTTACGAATTATCAACAGCTATAAAAAACGAGATTTAAGGATCGAACAATCGTCTCTGTTCTCCCTAAATTGCCCAATTTTCGTGCACAATCCGAGCGTCAATTAGAGAGACATTATTGCAACCGGAAATCGTTCGTTCCCCGTTAATGACAACGGAGCGGGCGAGCTTCCGGAATCGTTCTATTTTTCTCGGCGCTTCGACGAACCGCGAAAAAAGCGTAAAAAGTTGACGCAACATTTGCGAACGGTCGAAAAAATCCATTTTGTTTTTTCACGAAAAATCGCTCGCGCCACAATGCGCCGGCGGTTCTGCGTATTCGAGATCGAGCCCGGCGGGATTCCAGAGACTCATCGTTCGCGAAACTTTACACCGACACTTGTTTCGGATCCGATTGATAAGGGTATCGAGGAGTCGCGTTCGTCCGGGGTAGAAAAAAAAATGAGCAACGCGACGCCGTGTTTCGACGGATTAAAGTATCGGCCGCGTGTCGCGCGCACGGCATCGCGGACGGCCGAGTAAATGCCGCATAATCTGTACCGTTATGATCGCATCACGTATTCAGACATCTGCATACGCCGCTCGGTCGTAGAACACGCGCCTCCGCGGGCCCGGATTACGATGATTAATCATTACAATTGCGCGTAATAGCGCGTGCCTTTTCCGCTCGAAAAATCCTGGCGGATCGATGCGCCGCGAGCACGTGCCCGACGCGGTTACCTCGCGGGGAAAAAATGTTGCGCGACTCGAGGAGGACGCTCGAACGTAGTCGCGGCGTTTCGATTCACCTAAGGGCTTGCTTTTCGTAATCTTTAACCCTTTGCCCTACGATTTTTTTTTCTTTTTCGCGACAACAAGATCGCGCGTCGAACCCTTTCACGGTTGAGCCCGATTTTATGATCGCGTCTCTCGTGGACGTGGTAATCGTTTCCGGCCCCATTACCCGACCACGTCTGAGAGACGTGGTAGCCGGGCAAAGGGTTGATGCAGATTGAACGCGGCAACGAGCCGTGTTTGCCCAAAAAGTGACCGTGCGAACGTGCCACGTGCGAGCCGCGGTTTCGTTGCTCCCTGTAAAGCGATCTTAATCTCGGCGGTGGAAAAATTAATTTCCCGAGCTGTGTAACAATGCAAGCGGAACCCAGGAATAGATTTGCCAACCTGATTACCAGATCTCTGCCGGCGATAGTGTTTGACGTTTCGCCTTCGCTAATGAAAGGGCCAAGCTGTCGCGCGCAAACAACTGGGACAGCAATTAATGTTTACCGAAATTGTTCGACGCTCCCTATAAATCGTATTTTGCAATTAACAGAAACCGCCCTGGCTTCTCTCTCTCTCTCTCTCTCTCTCTCTCTCTCTCTGTATTTAATGCAATGACACGGAACCGCGGGAATGAGTTTCGTTCCCGATATAAATTGCGAGTTAGGGCCGAATTGATTTCTCGGTCGATATTCTGTTTCGCGGCGCGACGATTCCATTCCCTCTGTATGCGTGTGTGTGTTTGTGTATGTGTGTGCGATTCTTGCATTTATATGTGTATAGAACGATTAAAGAAACGTCCCACAAAGTGTTTGAAATGTAATGGAAAACATTTTTTAACGTCTTCCTTGGAAGGTAGACATTTAACAAAAAATATGTCAATGACCTTCGTGTGACCACTGTCCCATCCAGCGAGGGAAAAATGATCAACGTCGAATTCAACAGGGTATTACCCTATGACCTTCAAATTACCTTAAACGTGAAAGTTTCGTGAAAGAAGTAATTGCAATGAAACATTATTTTCTTAAAAACCGGATCAGGTTATGTTAGACCTTTTACTGTCGCTATAATTATATTATAAAATATATTATTATTATATTATATTTTCATGTATTATATTATTACTAATATATGATATTATACATATCATATATTATATTATTATTATATTATATTATATTATATTATATTATATTATATTATATTATATTATATTATATTATATTAT